ACCGTTCCCGGTTGGAAATCTGAGGGTCTGAGCTGAGGGTCGGCATATTTTCATTCCTGACATTCCACCCCGAGGGAGCCGGGCGTGTCGGTCGAGCCAGCCGTGACCAACGAGCTGAGAATGCCCCAGCTGCCCCTCCGTCCGCCCCGCCTGCACACTGAGGTCGCGGTGTCTCGCGCGCCGGGTGCTCCATCGGCACCGCTGGCGTCTAATGGGGTGCCGTGAGCAACCCGTCGGGCGTCTCTCGGTCTCAGCGGGGCGGTAAATGGCTGGCCGGGTCACCTCTCTGCCACATACCCGGAGTGTTTGGCGGTAATCGTATTACCATGTTCATGGCATGGTAGTGGGAGCTTTGCGGGGTATCAATGGGTCACCACATGGCTATTGCATTACGGATGGCCTCGTTTGGCGTAAGAAGACACGCTTTCGATAAATGTGCTGTGGTATCGTGTAGGCGATTCGTCCCTGGTGGTCCTATGACAGGTTCAATAAGCTATCCATCAGGCCGGGCGGGTGTGTATTTAGGCCTCGCAGTAGGCGTAGAGAGGTTAGTCTTCACCAGTTTGGCGTGCGATGAATGACGGCTAGTGGTTGAGGAGGATTAATGGATAAAACCACGCCCATATCGACATCTGTCAGTTGTTTGGTGTTCAAACCTTTCGACAAAGCGGCTCTACAAAGTGTAGCGGGCCCGGTGGCTAGTGGATGCTAGATTCTGTACGGTCACTGGCGGGGGGGGGGGGGTCTGGTAGATATCCAGACCCCCGCCCCCTCCCCCCGGCTGGACCCCCGCTAGCAGCACTGACAGGACGGTGGCAGAGCGGCTGTCGACAGCGGCGCCGAGTGACACTCGGAGTGAGAGACGAGAGTGAGTGTTCCCGGTGGCCGGGGAGTGCCTGCCAAGATCCACACTCACCGCTCGACCCCGAGCGGCACGAGCAGTGCAGCCTCGAGCGGTCCCGAGCGGCCTGGCGCGCGCAGTCGCGGGCGCGGGCTTGGGTACCGGAAAGGAGAACCGACTGATATTGGCATAGGCATTGGGCATGCCTGGACGAACATGCTCTACCGATTTAGACTTTGGTTACTTAAAACACAAGAATGGTCGTGACCTGTGTCCTCAGCAGTGCCAAGCTGTATCCTGCCTTTTGTAGCATGTTTATCGCAAATTTTCATTGCGGCTTCCTTGATTAGATACATTTTATTATAAGCTCCGGGCAGTGGTGGGCGCGGTCTCACACAGGTGACCTATGGACTGGCGACTGGCTGGTGCCTTCCAGACTGCAGTATTGAGCAGGCCCGGAGCCGGCGCCACAAGGCAATATTGTGGGCCCAATACGGTGTCGATCTCGTCTACCCGACGTCGGAGACCTTATGCCAGACTAAATCCGTTTTCAGTTTCAAAGGCTTTGTTGGTTGTATGCTGGTGTAACGTTTGATTGTAGGTGGTTTGATCAAGTGACATCGAGCGTCTCTCGGCCCTTCGATTTTGCTCAGCGAGCGCTATGGAATGACCTCGTCGTTGGACATAATCTTGAAAGGATCGTCTGATAAGAAAGACGGAGCGACTAAACGATTTTGGTCTCATTTTGGCTAATTTGGTCCATGTAATTTTAAGCTGAAGGAAGCACTTATTGAACTGCAATACCTGATGACCTCTCATTCGTCACCTCTGTCCCACTGGGAAACCATCCTCGCCTGAGACCACGGGGCTCGTCCCGCTGTACTGATGACGGTCACTTGTGGTGCCTCAGATGGCGTCATGCCCCTGCCAGGAGGTCCGCACAGCACTGTGTTGTAGACTAGTCCCACCACATGGTCCGGCAGACGCCGCTAACAACCAGTGCCGTCGGCAGGCGTCTGCAATGGCCTGCAAACAAACACAGAGCCAGCGCTGCATGATGTGGTGCGGCGAAGGGGGCAGTCGGTCTCTTGAAACCTTTCGGTAGAGCCGCTAGAGCGAAGGGTGTTTGTGATCCCTGGCAAAAACTCTTTTGTAGATTTTTGTGCAATGTGAGGTTTACTGTTCATTTGGGGAATTACCTGTGATTTTTTCGTCACGGATACGGATTTGCCCTTGCTCAAATAATTCAGAAAGGAGTATTTTGATCTTCGGTGTTTTGACCCTTGAATGGTGATTGTTTTTTTTTTTTGCCGTGTCCTGATATCCTCCACTCATCACTGATAAGGGTCAGGATATTAGCCTGAGGTACCGATTCCAAAGGAATCCCTAACACGTCGATGACCTGGGTGGTCGTTGCGGAGGGAATTCGCCCGCAACCCTCGACTCCGGTGGCACTCGGCAACAGATACCATCGGCGATGTTGCGAGCCGGGTGTAAATATTTACCTTAATTGTAACGGATCGTATACGCGCAGCGTATGACCGGTTAGCTGGCCCGATTTCCAGCCTAGTTAGGAGTCATAAAAGCTAGCTGACAGCCCGAGAGGTGATAGTTAGGCCACGATTGCCCAATTTATGGCGAGATAACAAGCTCACAAAAATGCGAACTACGTCGTGTTTGTGTTGATAAGGATTTACGGTGTCAGCTGAGCTTGCTGAGTGTTAGTGTGTAAGGGTATGGTTGCGCTAGTTCAGTTTCCCAGCTCGTTGGAGCCCTCTGCGCTTATGTTAGGACGGGAGCTATCACATGCGAGGGTACGGGGTCGTTACGCGTGACGCGCGCTCTTCGTGACTTCCCGAATCGTGACGCGTCCCGTGACGTTTGGTAGGAGGCTAGGGAAGGGGGTCACTCAGTTACCGGTCTACACCCTCAGTCACGTACAGTTGGGTACAGTTGTTATTTGACAACATAGGAGGCAGGTGGTTGGGACAAAAGGGCTCCCAGAAGAGATGCCATCTGCACCGACAGGGCGGTGCCGGCCGCCGGGACAGCGCCGGGCGGCGGCGGCGACCAGCCTCGATGTATGTACAATGTGTGCGCGGGCTGCGCACCTGTCTGCGAGCAGGCGCGGGCCGCCCGTCTCGCCCCCGGGCTGGTTCGATGCTAATGGGACCATATGCGTGAGCGGGAGGTCAGTGAACTGTCTGGGGCTTCTGGGTATGTCTGGATAACGTGTTGGGAGCTTCAGAGGAAGATCATTTACAGTTCCTGTTTTATGCTACTGACGTGCAGCATATTCACGATACCATGTTATTTTGGTCACAATGGACTTGACTATGAATATATGCAAATCGCCAAGCACCAAAATTTGGTGCTTGGCGATTTGCATATATTCGTAGTCAAGTCCATTGCTTTGATATTCTGAACTTGAAGTCTGAACCCCGAACCCTACATAGGCGGCCGTCGGCGTGTCCATGCAGCCGTGACTTAATGCTCCGCAAATGTCTGAAGCAGCCCCCGCAATTTGGCAGCTCTCGATGACGTCATGCTCGGACCATGTGTGGCTCCACATCAACATGACGTCATCAAGGTGTGTGTCCTGCACGGCTCAATAAAGCTGCATGGGCCGGTGTCGTTGGGGCCAACTAACCCCGGGGCTAATTTCTACCTGCAGTTGAGCCGTGGAACGACTCACAGTCACGTCAACCTGCGGCGCTATGTAGGATAAGGCACATAAATAAAGTAGATTCGGCCGGGTCGTGGCGTTCACCGGGTCCCGTACTGACCAGCGCTCTAGCATACGGTACCGCTGTGGGACAGCAAGGTGTGTTATCCCGGTAATAAATATGATAAAATGGCCCTGCAGGCCGGCCTGCACGCTGTATTGATCGGCGGAACAGCGATAAACGTAGTTTGCTCACTGGCAGCCGGATTTTGAGCCTTGCAGAGCAGCGTGGGCCAGGAGATAGTACAATCATGTTTAAATTGGGCGACCCGCTGCAATCGGCCGTCCAAAAGGTGACTGCCTGCGTGTGAAATTGGGCGAAATTAGGAACTACGTGGTTGGGCTGCAACAAGGCTAACCATAACCGTTGAAGCACACCGTGACCAAACTTTTGTCGTAGCTTCATACGACACAACCCAATAGCCGCATGTCTTATCGCCCCCTGATGGCGAGTATATGACTCGGAAACTCACCACCTCATGCCGTCCAGCTTTCGGCCGGGTCGGCTCGGCCGGGCTGGATGAGCCACTGTTTTGACCGCCGCTGCCGCACCCACAGTCGAGCTGTGTATTTATAAACCCGACCGCGGCCGGCGGGCCCTGTTTGACCGGGACGTGTCCGGTTTTCGAGCTCGGCTTGTGCCCCTGGCCGCTGATCCCTGGGGCAGTGCAGAGTTTATACGGGTGGTGAATACGAGATGCCGATGTGCCGTGTTTGACAGGCACTGTTTTGACTCCAGCTCCAGTACCTAACTTTGGGGTCGTATACACGTGACTTGTGTATGAATGGACTTGAAGCCGTGGGTTCCCGGAACTGTACCGGTGGCTCGCCTCTGCAGCTAGTGTCCATTTTAGGATGAACACGTGATGACATTGGCTCTGCATAAGTATTTTGTCGTGGCCTGTACGGCGTACGCTGCTGCTCAGTGTTTTGGCTGTAACCATCCACCGTGTCTGTTGAGGATACGTTACAAGGCGTACGATGCTACTGCTACCGGTGCAACACGAGTTGTCCGATGTTTCCGTGTTGAGCTCTACTTTGCTGACTTATGTATCCGCCTTGCTCACCTGTCGAAAAGGGAGTGTTTTGCTGCTTTTGACATTCACTTTGACATCTGTTCAACGAGTTTTTTTCTGAACGAGTACGTCTCGTGTAACTATTGTTCCTCGGCGAGGAAAGTTATCTAACCCGTGACAAATTTCAGTCGCCCCAGCTCGCTGCGTCTCTCAACAGGCCACTTCTTTTCTGGCAGATAAATAGCATTAGTTCGCTCGTGTTATTGCCTCCGACAGCTTTCTTCGACAGCGCTCTTAGATTCCGCAGTTGGGCAATTTTATCCCCAATCGACGCTTGCTGCTGCTCTGGTGTTCACTTTTTACGCCATGTGTTCACTGATCGATGTTGCCTGTTCTAATTGGTGCTCTCTGTTCACAGATGTTCGCTGATCTACCTGGTGTTCGTTCTTCACGGTATCGGCACGCTGATGCCATGGAACATGTTCATCACGGCCAAAGACGTAAGTGACTGAACGTGACGCCGTGCGCTCTGGCGAAGCTACCTCTTTGACTGATTGTGCAGGCTCTCTGGCGATTGTCGGTATCTTAGATTGTCAGTACCTCAACCACTCATGATCAGTGGGGAGGAAAGTACACATGCCACCCCAGCCACAGGTCATTTCATGCTTCACACATTCTACCAGAGGCATCCGTTCCCAACATTACCTCCTCCAACAACATGTTGCTTGGCGGACTCCGTTGGCGGTCTGGGGACCTGCCATCAGGCACTGATTGCCTGTATATCAGCTCGGTACCCGGGCTTTATTCAGTCAACTCACAGCAAGCTCTGATAACATGAAACAGCTGGATTGAAACCACCTGATCTGTAATTGCTGTCAACGTTTGCCCTGCCGACTTCCTTGTGTTGTTGGAATTCTGGAACTGTTTACACTTGACAGGATGTGCATCGTTAGGTACAAGCTTTTCTCGGTAGGGCCAGTATTTAGGAACGTCATTATTTTCAGCTGTTGTTAAATATTCACATTGAAGGCCAGAATGTTTGATTATTGGCTCGTACTTTCTTTTAATCCGCGAATGTCTGGCCACCCCATGTAAAAATGTGTGCTCGAAACAACCTAAGGTAAGCAGTTGAGCTTGCTGCTTCCATTGTTGCTTCGGTTTGCTTCCAAAATATTTGACGAATCTTGTCTTTGAAGAGACAACATTTCTGCATTCAGACACTTATGTGAGCATTTCCTTCTGTTTGTTGAGGTTCCGTCCAATTCGCTTCAGTTTGGCTCGGACAAGTGCCGAGCTGCTCGTACAGCTGAGCTTCCAAGGCGCTGGCGCTGGCTCGTACGTACGCCGTACTCTGCTTTTGATGCAATCAGTAATCATCTCGCTACTTATTCATTCAGCAGCTGCTGGCCGGCCGGAGCGGACACTCAGTCACGACTGGACTCGGGGCGACTGACCTGGTCGTAGCGGCTAGAGACGGCACTTGTTGCCAGCTGACCAACCAGGGTTGGGAGACAGATGGGCCGCTCTTGGCTGTCGGATCGCCTCGCTTAGGGGCGTCGCTTCTCTGGGTTGTGTGGAGACTGCCCCAAGTGGGAAGGACTGTCTAACGGGAGACGCCGATAGATATCGCTCTCACTGGAGACTACACGAGTCTTGTGTTGACTCGTAAGACTATCAGACCGCCGGTTCAGTGTGATACAGACTGCTGGGAGTATATCATCCCTGTGATGATATGTGGAGTCGCTCCGGGCCGGTGAGACCCGCGGCGGAACTGATTCATATACCTCGCGCTCGGCTGTGCTTTGGTTGGCACTTGGCAGGCAGTCAGAGGAGCGGGGTCGGATGGGGTGGGGCTCGCAGGTGCTCCGTCTAGCACCGGCGCGAGCCGCGACAATTTGTTGGGCCGAGTGACGCATGGGCTTGGCTGGGGAGTGGAGCACGCACGAAGGGCGAGGTGGGCGAGAGGTGCGGGTTGTAAATCGGCAAATAATGACCCATAAACATAGTTCGTTTGAGGAGGAAACACTGGCTGGTGTTTGTTACATACTTGCGCATTGTTTAGTCTGTGACGCTGAGCTTAAAGTCAAGTGATTGGGCCAGCACAATGGAATGCGGGTATCGATCTGGGCAGAGGTCATCAGGTCATTGAGGCATCGTTCCAGAAATAGGCGGCATTGTCCGCCATGAATTGTTCAAATGACCTCTGGCCCTACAGGGGAGAACAATGCCATGTCATTGCCCGCCCGCCCGCATGGAGCTTGAAGAGCAGTTTGGGCTCAATTTGGGCACCCTCGACTAGTGGAGCGGTCTTACACTTCCGTGTTGTTGTAGGCACTCAAGACTGAGGAGTAGAGGCGTCGGTCGTTATCCTCTACAATATGTCACTTTTGGGTGTCATTTGAGCAGGGTTGTGCTCGACTCAAAAAAATTTACCGACTCGACTCATCATTCAACTTCAGAAAGCCCTGACTCAACTCTGACTCAAACAAGGAGCTGATTTTTTCCCTTGACTCGACTCATGACTCAAACGGCTCAATGAAAATATGAGTTGACTCAAACTTGACTCAAATTTTTTGTTCAGTCAAGTGTGTTGACTCAAAATTGACTCAGATAAAAAAGTTGTTGAGCGGGGGGGGGGTGGAAAAAAATCCGGCAGCAGGGCCAGGCCTAAGTTGTTAAGCCGCGGGGGGAGGATGAAAAGCTTATATATATTGTTTCTAGAAAGATGAGTCAGCTGACTCATGTTCCTAAATGTTTTTGACTCAACTCAATGTCAAAAGTTATTTTACTGACTCAACTCTGACTCAACTCATCACCTTAATATTTTTGTCTGACTCAACTCTGACTCAACTCAACAGCTCAACATTTTATCTGACTCGACTCAAACCTGACTCATCTGAGTCAGAGTTGAGTCAAATCTCTGACTCGACTCATGAGTCAAGCACAACCCTGCATTTGAGGCAGGAACAGCTGTCAGAGATGACAATGCCTACTCTCTCAGCTGTCAACTACGTCATCTGTCACTTGTTTTCGTGCCTCTGTCACCTGTGCTCAGTGTCATCTGTCAGCTGTGTCATCTGTCAGCTGCCACCGGGTGTCATCTGTCTGGTTCTGTCCTCTGTCAAGTGGTCCCTGATTATGGGCCGTAAAACACATTCCGTGGATTTCGTTCCTGGCATACCGGAGTGCGGAGCCACTGGGAAGGATTCCGTCAGTGTCTATCAGTGAGTCACTCATGAACTACGATCGTGAATCGTTGACTCATATCTGTGAACCTACTCCTTTATATACTATCACTGCTTATGACTGCGGGTCTACCATTGGTTATGGACCGTCTGTGACCAACCTTTGATCACGAACTTACAATCCTGTACAATTCCAAGATCACGAGTCTTATTCACCAAACTTCCTTCCTCAATTTGTGTTTATTTCATCACTATAATATCAATTTTAGACTTCTCCTGTTAAAGCGTTTCTCTACCGTTTGTATGTGGGAAAATTGATTGCATTCAAAACACTTCGTCTCGGCGAATCTGTGTGTTTTCATTACCTTTCACCAACTGTCTCTTATGTGGTAAACAATACACCGCTCTTACTCACACGGCCTACCATTAAATTACCTGATAATGTGCCCGTATCTGACGTCGCTTCCCTCTCTCCCGACAGTACTTCGTCAACTACAAGCTGTCGGAGGCTCACACGGGCGTCGTCTCCGAGTACGCCACCAACTTCCTGCCGTATGTCGGCTTCGCTTCTCACATCCCCAGTGTGCTGATCAACTGGATCAACGTCTTCGCCAGGATGGGGTGAGTCAGAGCCTGATGTTGGTATCCTATCGTAGATGTTATGATACTTTTGTTTGTTATCATACTTTTGTTTTAAACTCTTTGAGGCTCATAAGCGCTAGTTGAAAACCTTTTTGGCCTCAAATAGGCTGAACGAGTAGTTGGTTATTACGGAGCGAGCGAAGCGAGCGGAGTCTTTCCTTAGATTAACGGAAATTTCTGAGTATGAGCGGCCGGCCGGCCGTGCGGACGCTTTTGCGAGGCTTATATCTCAGCAACCACTTGACCGATTTACATGCGGTAATTTTTGTAGGGTAGCTTCATTCCTTCTACTAAGTATTGTACTATTCCTGATGCATGTGGGTGATCCCTTATGCACGTGCCACGTGCAAAACGAAGAGGTGTCAGTTTTGTAATTGTTGCAATATCTCGGTAACTACTTGGCCGATTGCGCTGAAAGTTGGCATGTAGGTAGGCACCCACTAGGCACTGCATATCCATGTGCCAGAGTTGGGGTGCTGCTGCACGCGCGCACGTGCAGGGGTCGTTTCCAGATCTCGACAACGGCTCGACCGATTGCGCTCAAATTTGGTACGCAGTTAGGGACCGGTTAGTAGGGTGCCGTGCACAAGTCAGTTGGGACCCATTTTGCACGTGCGCACGTGCAGGGTGCCGCTTCCAGATCTCGAGAACGGCTGGGCCGATTGTGCTCAAATTTGGCACATCGCTAGAGACCGGTTAGTAAGGTGCCGTGCACAAATCAGTTGGAGGTACCCCCTCGAAATTTCGCACGTGCAAGGCCCACCCTCTCGCTCGCTCCGTTAGTCGCCCCAAAAGGCGTTATACTGGTGGATAGACTTTGGAGGAAACTGTGAAGGACATTTTGTTGTGGGAGTCCCTATGCCCACATGTGTTATTTCCTCGTTCTCTTTGCGCCATAAGCATATGTGGGTTTGTAATTTGCATCATTGCGCCGTTCCGAGGGGTTCCCCCGCTATCACTGACTGTTGGAACAGTGGTGACTGACCTACCTAGGGTGATAAGATCTCTATGTAATTAATGACACTCGTCTGTATCGGTGACTGCGGCGAGTAGGGTAGACCGGGGCAAGTCGCCCCGCCGAGGTAAAACGTCTCACCGATGTTTCTCGGAACTGGCAGAGTTCTGGGGAAACATCCTCTCTTCTATAAAACGTGCACTATATGATCATTATATGAGCAGACTGGAAAGAAATTGTGATGACTCTTTCGGGAGATATAGCCAAAAATGTGATTTTTGAGTGATTTTTATGTTTTGTTGCCAGATTATGCATCATGGCGTTCTTTTATGGTCCACATCAGGTTAACGACCTTTATGTATTTTGAACAACTGTTGTCTAACGCTTATCATGCCGGGTTGGTTCGTGTTAAATTATGTTTTGCTTGAGTGCAAGGCGTTGTTCTCTGACCGAACTACGTGATGGGGTAAAACGCCCCAGTAGGTCGCGGGGCAAAAAGCCCCATGGGGCGTTTTACCTCATGTGTTGTTCGGGCTACCCACTTTCTAATATTCGGTAGCTGGCGAACAGTAAGCTTCTATGCATTTTATGTATTTTTCTCAGCGACTGGATGGCAAAGGAAGTATTTTGCTAACATTTGCATTGCAATAATTTATTATTTGGTCTTATGAGGCAGGTGAAAAACCTGCTCATACAATAGTGTCATAGCTGAACACCTGACAGGATGGAATGTGCTAACTTCAGTGCCGTGCCTCCAGAGGTCTAGCGGACCTCTCACATAAGATTTAGCCAACTACCATGTTAAATCTTTAATCTAAAGTATGGGGCTTCTTGCCCCAGGCCGTGGGGCGTTTTGCCCTGGGGTTGGGGCAAATGCCCCATTTGCAGTTGCTTCACAAATCACTTCCTAGCTTGGAGTCCGATCACAAGTGAATGCATTTGAGGGGTGCAATTTAAAGTAAAATGTCCAAAGAACGCATTGAGCACAAATTTGGCCTTCCAGGTGATGTAAGACAAAATTTATGTTGCAAAATAAATTATCTGGGGCGTCTTGCCCCAGGCTACCCTATATTATTGTTACGTCGTCTGAACTAGCGATGACAAATGGAAGAGTCACCGAGCGTTTCGCGGACGTGTTGTCATTGAGGGAACGCAAACATTGGTTAGCGCCGGAGAGTGGATTGGGTTTGATAGCATGGGAGGACGTGCAGGTCTCGCGAGATTAAGCGGTAGGTTTTGCACTTTTACATTTCCGGTTATATCTCAGAAACTAATCGATCTACGATGAAGCCATTTTACACGATCATGGCCGGCTTGTCACCCAACAAGTCGATCGCATCTTCAACACTTAAAAGCTTAAGACGACAAAGATATAGCCTGAAGTACACTAAATTTTCTAGGTGCAAAACCTACTGCTAAAACCCGCGAGACCTGTACCCTGGTACTCTGTCTGACACTCGGCACATTGTTATAGATGTGTTTCTGATATAGTGGTCTGAGAAGATGAGTTAGCTGGTCTGTGCATACTAATTGTGCGTCCATATGATAGGGAATACGCAACAGCGTACGGAGCAGCACTAGGCATCTCTCCAGGTCCAACCATACCCGAAGGTTGTTTCTTCATTAGACAAACACTATTCTTTAGAATTGTGTTTTTCTATTGAAAAACAAACTGAGGGTGTTTCCATTTCGGGATAGGATTCGTGTTTGGTGCAGCGAATTGGGGCACCTTGCACCGTTTGCACACGAACCGATAGATTTTGATTAAATTTTCAGGGCAGCTGCCCCCACAGATTATCTACCACGAAACACCCTCAGCTAAGATTATTATTATTTTTCTTGCACGTGGCACGTGCACGTGTTTTAGGCCCATAGGCTTCAACAATAGGTGGATTTTCGGCATCGCATTTCTCGCAGACGGGTGCTTGTAATGCGATGGGCTTCTATGTGCTGGGTGGCCGCCCCGGCATCTACCATGAGCCGGCGGCGCCGTTTCGGGCAGCTTCGGGAAGGGGGTGCAAATTGCACGTGCAGCCGCCATTGGTTTAACGTTACGAAATGTGCCAAAACGGGTTTTCTCGATTTGCTCAAAATCGGCTCGATAGATTTTCTTTGTTTTTTTAGTACCGGTAGTCGGTCAGTAGGTTCGTTCGTCAATGTCAATCGCTTGAAATATAATTAACTTTTTTGCACGTGGCACGCGCACAAATCTTCACGTCTTAAGTCAATGGGATTTCTTGAAAAAATACTTAAATCGATTTTGCTCAAAATTTCCACGTTAGATATTAAAAATGTTTCAGTATGATATGCACCCACATGTCGCCTACCAGGTGGCATAGGCCATATATGGGGCGATTGAAATGCACGTGCACGCCCCGCACTTGTTTGAGGGGACCACCTCCGTGAAAATTTGACCACTGCTGGTATGATGGCCTGTGCCGCGCAAACAATACGTGCCAGCGGAACCAATCGAGGTCAGTCGTCAAGGGGATGCTCTAGGATAGTTGTACACCTCATCACGTGGTGCACGTGTTTTCGCACGTGCGCCACATGGGTATAGCATTTTGGGATAGGTAGCCATTGGTGCATAATTATGCTCAGGTGATAACCTCACTGCATGGGTTTGAGCCAGAGTTCCAAGTCGGTTGCGATAATGACCATTGGTGTTGGGTCTACTACGTGTCAAACACGTGGCCGCCCGGGGTTCTCCATTCCGGAGATATTGTGACCGATAGTGAGGTAAGCCCTAATTTAAAGATTGGCCAAGTTTGATCGGCCGCTGGGAGACAATGGTGGCGCACCCGAAAGTCTACCCATGGGCACTGAAGACCCCTTTCATCTGGTACAAAAGGATGGTCGCTTTATGTCTTTAGGCCACACGTGGCACGTGGCACCCCACCTCGAGTGACCATGTGCACTCTCAATGTAAGGCGTTTTGGCCATAAATTTGCCATTTATGGGCCGATTTCGACGAAAATTGCAACATTGATGCATTAAAATGACCTGTGTCACAAACGGCGCTACGAATACAACAAACTCATGTGCTTCGTTTTGGTCTCTAGTGCGCCACTTAACCCGCGCCCCACTGGGGTCTGCGTATAACACGCCCTACTGGGGGGGGGGGCTATTCATAGCCCCCCCTAACTCCGAAACTACTGGGCCGATCGTCAAAATTCAAACGGCGTCTGATAGCCCCGGAAAAACTGTTGAGCGAAACCTAATTTCATTGACCTTGAGGTCACCGATGACGTCACAGGTCAGGTCAAAGTAAAAATTATTAGCATTTTGATTTGTTCACGTTTTGGGCTCTGGCCGCCGTCTTACAAGTCAGATCAGGCTCATTTTTGGTTCACACACTCGTGAACAGATGCTCTAGATACCCTGAGGGTACCAAACTTGTACTTTGATTTTCAGGTCAAGGTCAGGTCATCACAGGTCACGAAAATATTATATCATGCGTCGGTCACGTGACACATGTTTTATGGTCCATTTAGGCCAAAGATTTCGAATTTGATGTCGTCTGTGTCATTCGAGGTCATTTTGAGTCGAATTTAGCATAGGTCAGGTCACTTTCAGGTCAAAAAAGGTCCAATTTTGAAGCTAAAATTTTTCAACAAAAAAGGTGTGTATTAGATGCAGTTTGAGCTCAGGAACACGATGGTGCTGTTTATATTGGCGTACGATGTCAAATACGTGCTGAAAAATTGATTTGAAAAATTAATAATTGTAAATTTTTTTGCAATAATGCGCATAACTTGGCCATTTTTGAAGATTTTTAGCTAAAACTTGCTAGAGTTACTAAAAATAATGCGTTCTATCACATATATTCCGGTTTTTTTTTCAAAAAGTCAAAAACGTTTTGGAAAAATGTAAAAATACAAATTTTGAATTTTATTATATTAAATTTTCGAAATTTTCAACATTTCGAAAATCCGAGATAGCAGTTTAATAGCGCAGTCTATTCTGAGTCCTCTCATGCAAAGAAATTGGATCTAGCTTAAAAACTGAGCTCTTGGGAGCGATT